CCCTTGGGTGACATCTATTTAACCTTAGGAATACTTCCATCTATGAGAGTCTCTCCAAAATGCACTGTAGAGGTTTTTTTTGTGGGAGGTAAATTCCCTCAACTTTTTCTTATCTGTGAATTGTTTAATCCCTCCTTCAAATGTAAATAATAACCTTGCCAGGTATAGTATTCTTTGTTCAAGGCCCTTCTGCTTCATTGCATTAAATATATCATGCCACTCCCTTCTGGCCTGTAAGGTTTCTGTTGAGAAGTCTGATGATAGCCTGATGGGTTTTCCTTTGTATGTGATCTTCTTTCTCTCTCTAGCTGCTTTTAAAAGTCTGTCTTTATCCTTGATCTTTGCCATTTTAATTACTGTATGTCTTGATGTTGTCTTCCTTGGGTCCCTTGTATTGGGAGATCTGTGTAACTCCATGGCCTGAGAGACTATCTTCTTCCCCAGATTGGGGAAGTTTTCAGTAATCACCTCCTCAGTGACACTTTCTATCCCTTTTTCTCTCTCGTCTTCTGGTACCCCTGTAATACGAATATTGTTCCGTTTGGATTGGTCACACAGTTCTCTCAATATTCTTTCATTCTTAGAGATTCTTTTTTCTCTTTGTGCCTCAGCCTCTTTGTATTCCTCTTCTCTAATTTCTATTCCATTTACCATATCTTCTACTACATCTTATCTGTTTTTAAATCCCTTCATTGTATGTTTCATTTCAGTTATGGAATTTCTTAATGATTGAATCTCCTACTTAAATTCATTCCTGAGTTCTTGAATATTTTTCTGTACCTCCATATTTATGATTTTTATTTTGAACTCTCTTTCAGGCAGATCGGTGAGTTCAGTTTCATTAGGCCCTTTTTCTGGGGGTTGTGAGATTTTGGTCTGAACCATGTTCTTTTGACATTTCATAATTCTGTGTGGTGCCCACTAGTGCCCAGAAACTCCAGTCTGTGGAGCTTCTCAGCCCCTAGAGTGAGGCTGGGGGTCATAGGGGAGCGGAGCTGGGGCCCTGTGTTCATGAGGTCTGCTCTGTTCATGAGGTCTGCATGCAGTCTGGTTCAGCTTTCTTTCTTGTTGCTGTTTTAGGGTTAGTTGTAGCAATTAACTATATTTTCATACTATTTGTGGTTTTTGGAGGAATTCTCCGTCTCACCTCTCACACCACCATCTTGAATCTTGCTCTTGCATGTTTATACTATGTAGGATAAGAGTGGTAGACCTCTGTGTACACCATCAGGAAAGGCATTAGTTCCAACATTAGTACAGTACCCTGCTAGATACGCTACAAAGAAAGGTAAAGCAGATTGTTAAGCTTTTTGATCATTGAAAATGAAACAAAATTCTTGAAATACTTAAGCTCTATTTTTGGTTGTTGGGTTTGTTAAGTTTTGTGTAGACTTGCGCTCAGTAAGACTTTTCTATTTTCTATATCAGTAAGAGACTATAGCAGGGTGTCTGTTGGGAGTAAGCAAAAGCTTAGTATAGCAGAAGAGCTGCGTATTTTTCTAAGTTGAACTTATCACTGGGCACAAATACTATTATAATTAGAGATCTTCAACATTAAGAAAAGTTAAAAAAATGCACCTCCTTCTCTTCCTCTCTGTCCTTCTGTATGGAGGATACATAGAGCAATCTGGAAGAAACCTTAAATGGCCTACCAGTCTTCAGGAGAGCTGAAAAATAGTTACATAAGGCATTGTGAGAAACTTAGGAGCTATATTAAATTATAAGAAAGCTTAGATTAAAAGGGAAATGGAGAATGGATGGATGCTAATATATTTGTTGAGCAAATGTTTATTATGTGAGTGTCAGGTATTTTACATACATTGCCTAACTTAATCTTTACAACAACTCTGTAAGGTATGTGTTCACATAGGTTGAGTCAGTTTCCTTCTCCAAAGACATAAATTTGGCCAGTTACCTGCAGCTAATGAATAATATGTTGGGATTTGGGTCTAATTCTGACTCTTTCCAAAGTCTATTACTGTGCTGCCTCTTCAGGAATTATGCTAAAGAACCTTATTTCCATAATTCCATGTTTTTTGTCAGGTGAACTTTTGGAAAATCCTGGCTTACTTAAGCTTCTGGCATATCTGTATATCTCTATATCTACCCAGCTAGCTCTCTGTCTATATTGTTGCTTGAACACATGACAAACAGTTTCATCATGTAAAGGAAATGTTTCCTACACAGAGATTTTCCTGCTTATCAAGTAAAGCTGTTATGTTGTCTCTGATTTAATCCTTCTCCACCAATGCAAGTTCTTAAGAGTATCTATACTTTATATAATGAAGAAATACACATCTAAGAAAAATCACATGATAGGTATGTAAGTAGGGGATAGAGAGAGAGATAGAATGAATGATATATATTCCTTCTCCAAAGACAGAAGAAAATTCAGATATTGATTCATTATTTATAGTGGTTCTTTTTTGGGTTGTTAATCTTAATCAAGAAAAATCTGTAATGATTTATTTCTGTTGGGATAATAATAGCTTTCAGTCTTATGGAAAGAAACTGCTAATTGAGCCTTAGACCTTATCAGAAGGGCAGTCACGAGTTTAAGTCCCTCCATTCATTTTGGAGATGAGCAACTGAAGTCCAGAGAGGTGAAGTGACCTGTCACACAATTAGTGGCAGGTCCCCTGAATATGAATCCAGTTATCTTTCTGCTATTCTGTGGTAATCTTTATTAACATCATATCCTGTTTGGCAATTTGTATTAAACAGGACAGCCTCCTGACTTGAATAGCTTATGTGACTTGCAGAGATCACCATCAGGTACTTTCTGAGATTTGTAGAGATTTGTCTGAATCCAGAGAAGTGTTTTACTCTATCCCTTACATATGTTAAGGCTCAGCTAAGAGTTCAGAAATGACTGGCTCAGAAGAAGGCTTTCATCCTGGAAAAGTAGAAAGTGGACATGTTACAGATATTTTGAATTTGCAGCAAATGTAGTTCTTCAGGCTTCTAGAGCTGCTTGGGATCCTTTTATTCCAGTGTTCCCAAGGCATAGTTAATAACTAAATTTTGACAGGTTAGAGGGACCTATAAGTATGTACTGAGATTAATAATATTGGTCTGATTACAGATGTTAAAGCATTGTAAGGTGAGGAAGAAAAAAGAGTTTCTCTGGTGAGTGAGGCCAATGCCCAAATGTTACATAATAGCCAGACCATTTAAAAAGTCTACGAGGTCAAGGAGTAAATGTTATTAGCTCATTTTTATGATTCATAAAGTAGAAATAAAATAGTTTGCCACATTTCTTCAAAGACTCACAAGTATCTCAGATTTGGAAATAGAATCCAGCTTTCCTGGCTCTTCTTAATCACCTACTAAGTCTATTACTCCCACATTGTGTGTATAAAGTATGACATATTTTACACAATTAGTTTCTCTCCCATTTCCATTATTGATAGTGTAGTTCAGATTCCCATTACCTTTCCATGATTATCACAGTTGCCTACTAACTGTTACCCTTGTTTTGGGTCTCTTTTTCTTTCTATCATCTTCCTACTTAGTTCAGATCATAGTACACTATTCTTCATAAGTCACTGCATCTCTGTGGCCTACAGATTAAGTTCAAACCCTATGAAGAGCTCTGTTACTGGGTCTTAAATACATTTCCAGCCTTGTCACCCAATACTCTCTTTGCTCTACAGACACCCTGTTTCAACCACTGTGGTATTACTGGACTAGTCATTTTTCAGAAGCATATTCCCTGGGCTACATCAGGGCTTGCTCTTGTGCTGGTTCTTGGTCCTAGAGAGAATCTCTTCTTCTCACATCTTTGAATGTCAGCACACATACATTAACTCATCTAATGCTCTCAGTAACTCAATAGGTCAGTGTATCATTGTCCTCATTTTACAGGTGTAAAAACTGAGAGACGAGAAGCTAAGTTGCTAGTAAGTAGTGGGTTTTGAACCTTAGTCTGTGTAGTCCCAGAATTCAAGCCCCTCTACCATCCTGCTGCTCACCGTGTCTTCTGAATTCCTCCTTGCTCATCGCAAAGCCATAGTTACCTTCCCCTGATCAGAATCATCATAGCTCTTTGTTTAGACCTTCTGCCACTTATGTCTATTATATGTGTGTGTACTCACCTTATCTCCCCTTTAAATTTTGAGATCCTTGAAAAGAGGTGTGTTTGTTTTTTTTAATTTCTACCCAAAACATCTTTTTCAAAGCATATCCGCTTAAATTTGAAAAGCACTATTCTAAGTACAAACTGTTCTTTTCCTACAAAGCAGTGATAATAGTGTATTCCTGAGACCCCTCACTCTTCATACCCTTTGTCTAGCTTGGGGTGGGAAGTCACTGAGACTGGAAGGACACCGTGGAGCATGTACAAACTCTGTCACTGGCTACCCCACTGGCTTGCTAAGAAAGCCATTTCCCTAAAACTGCATTCTCTTTTATGCAAGAGGAATCTACAGATGAAGTGTTGGTGAAGCAGGTAATAAGCACAAACTCTGTGAGATTCTAGAAAACATCTCAGTATTGAGGAAAAGATATTGGCTTTGACACCAAAAAAATTGGGCTGTACAGCTCTGCCAGCTCTGTCCCTTTGTATTGTGGGATCTTGGGCAAGTCATTTAGTATTTTTTAGCCTAACTGCTTGTCTTGTATTGTTTTCTTATGGACCAAATTCAGTAGTATACATAAAAGAACTTAACAAAACAAACAACATAAATGTTGTTCAAACCTTCAGAATATGGAAAAGTTCTTAAGAAATACATATACACACATATATTCATTGTCATAATTTTAGAAGTTCTACCTGTGCAGATACCTAGTTTTATTAAGTGAACCAATGGTAGGTTTCAAGGAGATATTTAACTAATGTCTCTGTGTTATATAGGATAGGAAAAAGGCCAGAGATTGGATTTGGTACTGGAAATCCAAGATCTGTTAAGATCCATGTGTGCAAAGGAAAATAATTTTGCTGTTATTGACATCTTAGTAGTTTATAATGTGATCCTTATTGTAATTTTTTGTATTTACAGACAAAGTGGCGTCAGAATTACTGCAAGATTATAGTAAATACTTGCCACATGATGTTGTTGTCATGACTGTGAAGTTATGCATACTATTTGCTCTGCTTTTGACAGTGCCTCTAATCCACTTTCCTGTAAGTACTTTTAGAGGTTTTGTTGCTAGTGTAGCAGCTCCCTAATGTGGCAGCACTAATTATTTGCAGACAAGAATGTTTCAATCATATCTAGTATTGTATATCTTATTCATTTGTCAAGTAATTGATCAAAGACCTCATGCTTTCATATGGCCCCATGAAAGCACAAAAATAATAGTGAACCACTAAGCTAATTTGTGCTTTTTGAGATTTAGTTTAGATTTACACTCTCCCACAGCATTGTTTCCAATTTACAGACTACAGTTCCAAAGTTCTGGGGTTCCCCCCCCCCCTTTAATTCTGTGTTCTGCTTTCAGAAGAATGTACATAAAGAGGAAAAAGTCAAGTCAACAAAAATAAACCCCTTCTGGTCTATTGTAAATTTATTTTCACATAGACATTCTAGTTTAATCTTAGACAAAATATTTTATTTGCTCTAGAATTATAATTTAAATGGCAGAACAGATCTTCACTCTACACTTGGTTGCCATACACAGGAATATTAAGAATTTCTGAGAAAATGTACAGTTTCATCATGTAAAGGAAATGTTTCCTACACAGAGATTTTCCTGCTTATCAAGTAAAGCTGTTATGTTGTCTCTGATTTAATCCTTCTCCACCAATGCAAGTTCTTAAGAGTATCTATACTTTATATAATGAAGAAATACACATCTAAGAAAAATCACATGATAGGTATGTAAGTAGGGGATAGAGAGAGAGATAGAATGAATGATATATATTCCTTCTCCAAAGACAGAAGAAAATTCAGATATTGATTCATTATTTATAGTGGTTCTTTTTTGGGTTGTTAATCTTAATCAAGAAAAATCTGTAATGATTTATTTCTGTTGGGATAATAATAGCTTTCAGTCTTATGGAAAGAAACTGCTAATTGAGCCTTAGACCTTATCAGAAGGGCAGTCACGAGTTTAAGTCCCTCCATTCATTTTGGAGATGAGCAACTGAAGTCCAGAGAGGTGAAGTGACCTGTCACACAATTAGTGGCAGGTCCCCTGAATATGAATCCAGTTATCTTTCTGCTATTCTGTGGTAATCTTTATTAACATCATATCCTGTTTGGCAATTTGTATTAAACAGGACAGCCTCCTGACTTGAATAGCTTATGTGACTTGCAGAGATCACCATCAGGTACTTTCTGAGATTTGTAGAGATTTGTCTGAATCCAGAGAAGTGTTTTACTCTATCCCTTACATATGTTAAGGCTCAGCTAAGAGTTCAGAAATGACTGGCTCAGAAGAAGGCTTTCATCCTGGAAAAGTAGAAAGTGGACATGTTACAGATATTTTGAATTTGCAGCAAATGTAGTTCTTCAGGCTTCTAGAGCTGCTTGGGATCCTTTTATTCCAGTGTTCCCAAGGCATAGTTAATAACTAAATTTTGACAGGTTAGAGGGACCTATAAGTATGTACTGAGATTAATAATATTGGTCTGATTACAGATGTTAAAGCATTGTAAGGTGAGGAAGAAAAAAGAGTTTCTCTGGTGAGTGAGGCCAATGCCCAAATGTTACATAATAGCCAGACCATTTAAAAAGTCTACGAGGTCAAGGAGTAAATGTTATTAGCTCATTTTTATGATTCATAAAGTAGAAATAAAATAGTTTGCCACATTTCTTCAAAGACTCACAAGTATCTCAGATTTGGAAATAGAATCCAGCTTTCCTGGCTCTTCTTAATCACCTACTAAGTCTATTACTCCCACATTGTGTGTATAAAGTATGACATATTTTACACAATTAGTTTCTCTCCCATTTCCATTATTGATAGTGTAGTTCAGATTCCCATTACCTTTCCATGATTATCACAGTTGCCTACTAACTGTTACCCTTGTTTTGGGTCTCTTTTTCTTTCTATCATCTTCCTACTTAGTTCAGATCATAGTACACTATTCTTCATAAGTCACTGCATCTCTGTGGCCTACAGATTAAGTTCAAACCCTATGAAGAGCTCTGTTACTGGGTCTTAAATACATTTCCAGCCTTGTCACCCAATACTCTCTTTGCTCTACAGACACCCTGTTTCAACCACTGTGGTATTACTGGACTAGTCATTTTTCAGAAGCATATTCCCTGGGCTACATCAGGGCTTGCTCTTGTGCTGGTTCTTGGTCCTAGAGAGAATCTCTTCTTCTCACATCTTTGAATGTCAGCACACATACATTAACTCATCTAATGCTCTCAGTAACTCAATAGGTCAGTGTATCATTGTCCTCATTTTACAGGTGTAAAAACTGAGAGACGAGAAGCTAAGTTGCTAGTAAGTAGTGGGTTTTGAACCTTAGTCTGTGTAGTCCCAGAATTCAAGCCCCTCTACCATCCTGCTGCTCACCGTGTCTTCTGAATTCCTCCTTGCTCATCGCAAAGCCATAGTTACCTTCCCCTGATCAGAATCATCATAGCTCTTTGTTTAGACCTTCTGCCACTTATGTCTATTATATGTGTGTGTACTCACCTTATCTCCCCTTTAAATTTTGAGATCCTTGAAAAGAGGTGTGTTTGTTTTTTTTAATTTCTACCCAAAACATCTTTTTCAAAGCATATCCGCTTAAATTTGAAAAGCACTATTCTAAGTACAAACTGTTCTTTTCCTACAAAGCAGTGATAATAGTGTATTCCTGAGACCCCTCACTCTTCATACCCTTTGTCTAGCTTGGGGTGGGAAGTCACTGAGACTGGAAGGACACCGTGGAGCATGTACAAACTCTGTCACTGGCTACCCCACTGGCTTGCTAAGAAAGCCATTTCCCTAAAACTGCATTCTCTTTTATGCAAGAGGAATCTACAGATGAAGTGTTGGTGAAGCAGGTAATAAGCACAAACTCTGTGAGATTCTAGAAAACATCTCAGTATTGAGGAAAAGATATTGGCTTTGACACCAAAAAAATTGGGCTGTACAGCTCTGCCAGCTCTGTCCCTTTGTATTGTGGGATCTTGGGCAAGTCATTTAGTATTTTTTAGCCTAACTGCTTGTCTTGTATTGTTTTCTTATGGACCAAATTCAGTAGTATACATAAAAGAACTTAACAAAACAAACAACATAAATGTTGTTCAAACCTTCAGAATATGGAAAAGTTCTTAAGAAATACATATACACACATATATTCATTGTCATAATTTTAGAAGTTCTACCTGTGCAGATACCTAGTTTTATTAAGTGAACCAATGGTAGGTTTCAAGGAGATATTTAACTAATGTCTCTGTGTTATATAGGATAGGAAAAAGGCCAGAGATTGGATTTGGTACTGGAAATCCAAGATCTGTTAAGATCCATGTGTGCAAAGGAAAATAATTTTGCTGTTATTGACATCTTAGTAGTTTATAATGTGATCCTTATTGTAATTTTTTGTATTTACAGACAAAGTGGCGTCAGAATTACTGCAAGATTATAGTAAATACTTGCCACATGATGTTGTTGTCATGACTGTGAAGTTATGCATACTATTTGCTCTGCTTTTGACAGTGCCTCTAATCCACTTTCCTGTAAGTACTTTTAGAGGTTTTGTTGCTAGTGTAGCAGCTCCCTAATGTGGCAGCACTAATTATTTGCAGACAAGAATGTTTCAATCATATCTAGTATTGTATATCTTATTCATTTGTCAAGTAATTGATCAAAGACCTCATGCTTTCATATGGCCCCATGAAAGCACAAAAATAATAGTGAACCACTAAGCTAATTTGTGCTTTTTGAGATTTAGTTTAGATTTACACTCTCCCACAGCATTGTTTCCAATTTACAGACTACAGTTCCAAAGTTCTGGGGTTCCCCCCCCCCCTTTAATTCTGTGTTCTGCTTTCAGAAGAATGTACATAAAGAGGAAAAAGTCAAGTCAACAAAAATAAACCCCTTCTGGTCTATTGTAAATTTATTTTCACATAGACATTCTAGTTTAATCTTAGACAAAATATTTTATTTGCTCTAGAATTATAATTTAAATGGCAGAACAGATCTTCACTCTACACTTGGTTGCCATACACAGGAATATTAAGAATTTCTGAGAAAATGTAAACAAAGGCTTTGGGTATAAATGCTTCTGCATGGATGTCTTGAATCCCCAAACAGTGAGCTCCTTAAGAACTGGGCCTTCAAGATTGCTGTGTGGACTGCAGTGCCAGGAGCATAGTGGGGCCGGATAAACATTTGTGGGATGTGACTGCCTGCTGCCCATCTTAGCAATGGGAAGTGTCATAAATAGTTTTCATATTTTCATGCTATGAAACAGATAATATGAAATAAAATAGTAAATGGTATTTCCTTCCATCTGTTGAATTTATTGAAAATTGTTCTCTGAGATTTCATTACATAGTGTTACTGTTAATAATTTTGAAAATTACACAACCGAAGGAAATTGTATGTGAAAATTTTTTCAAGAATTAAAGTAAAATAATTTATATGAAGCTCACATAGAAAGGAATACTTCTTTGTTTATGTGTAATAAACCTTTTATGATAGTTTAATAGCTGTGTGTTTGGAATCTAAATGGGGCAAAGAATATCATGAAAACTGTATTGTACATGTGTTTCCCTAAGTGAGTACTTTGGCTTTGATACTTTCTCTTTACTTAAATCTATTTCTTTTTCTGTTACACAGGCAAGGAAAGCTTTAATGATGATGTTTTTCTCCAATTTTCCATTCTCATGGATCCACCATTCCTTAATCACTCTAGCACTCAATATTATCATTGTTTTACTTGCAATGTATGTTCCTGACATAAGGAATGTATTTGGTATAGTTGGTAAGTTTTCTATTTTAAAAAACCCACATAATAAAATGTATAAGATAGATGCCCAGCTTCACATCTGAATTGGCAATATCTTTTTTTTTTCCTCCCACATAAAGGTGCCAGTACATCAACATGTTTGATTTTTGTATTCCCAGGACTATTTTATCTTAAACTTAGCAGAGAGGATTTTCTCTCATGGAAAAAGCTTGGGGTAGGTTGGTTTTTGACTGTTTCTTTTAAGACTCCTGTTTCAAGAAGTAATTTGTCATTTGTAATTATTTTACCCACATCAGGAAAGTTAATGTATTTTGAAATATAGCAAACCTTATTTCAGAGAATGGAGGTTTAAAAAAATATTCTGATTGTTTTTTATCTTTTTCCTTATTTCTACAGGCTTTTGTTTTGCTCATCTTTGGAATTTTGGTTGGGAATTTTAGTTTAGCATTTACCATTTTTAATTGGATTAACAAATGAAGGAAATATTTTCCCACTTCTTATGAAGAATAATTTACCTCCACATGCAAAAAGGAATAATTCTGGAAGGCACCTTGGATAAATCTTTATATGAGTTAACATTTTGGTAAACATTAGTAACAAAAAAAAAATGTGGAACAGAGTGGGAATGGATAAGGAAAAGTAGGTTTATAGCAGTTTTAATAAAAAAGGAAATAAACTCAAATGCTCTTAAATATATTAGGTCAGTCTGTGTGCTTATTGTTTTTTCTAATAATTAATAGACTATTTTTTAGGGTAGTTTTAATGTTTACAGAAATATTAAGCAGAAACTACAGGGAGTCCCCAAATAGTCCCTCAATCCCCAACACACCCAGTTTCTCATGTTATTAACATCTTGCATTATATGGTACATTTGTTTCACTTGATGAGCCAATATTCATACATTATTATTAAGTGAAGTCCATCATTTACATTAGGTTCACTCTTGATGCAAACATTGGCAACCACTGATCTTTTTACTTCCTCCAATAAAAAACTGAGGCTTTCCCAGAATGATATAGTTGGCATCACATAGTTGGCATCACATAGTATCTAACTTTTCAGACTGGCTTCTTTCACTGAGCAACGTGCAATTAAAGTTTCCTCCACATCTTTTCATGGTTTGATAGCTCATTTCCTTTTACCACTGAATAATATTCCATTGTATGGGTGTACCATTTGTTTTTCCATTCACCTGTTGAAGGACCTCTTAGTGCTTCCAAATTTTGGCAGTTATGAATAAGCTGCTATAAACATTGGTGTGGAAATAAGTTTTCAGCTTATTTGGTATGGTAAGAATATGCTTAGTCTTGTCAGAAATTGCCAAACTGCCTTCCAAAGTGGCTGTATATATCGCATTCCTGCCAGCAGTGACTAAGAGTTCCTGTTGTTCCACATCCTCGTCAGCACTTGGTGTTGTAAGTGTTCTGGATTTTTGCCATTTGATGGGTGTGTAATGGTATCTCATTGTTGTTTGAATTTGTGTTTCCCTAATGCCATATGATATGGAGCATCTTTTCATATGCTTATTTGCTATCTATATATTTTCTTTGGTGAGGTTCAGATTTTTGCTCATTTAAAAAATCTGGTTTTCTCATTTAAGCATTCTCTGTGTATTTTAGATACCAGTCCTTTATCAGATATGTGTTTTGCAAAGATTTTCTCCAAGTCTGTGGCTTGCCTTTTCATTCTCTGTACAGTGTCTTTTGTAGATCAGACTTTTTAAAATATTAAATATTTAAATGTTTAATATTTAAATTAAAAAATTAAATATATTGAGTCAATCTTTTGTTTGCTTGTTTTTTACAAAATAAGTGTATTAAGTTTATATGCAAATTTAAATCTCAGTTTGTGGGTTAATATTGTCAACATCATCACTAATAGCAGAATTGTGGGATTATTCCCCTTGGTATTTTGCCCTGCCTTCAAATCCTGTCTAACAAATGTTTGTGACTTTCCTCTGGTGTTCGTTATGAGATAGAGCTGTGGTGATTGGCTGTAGGTTTGAAAGTTTTCTGAAGTTTCTTAATTGTTACTAAAACATGTGACTTTCTACTTGGCAAACAGAGACAAATAGTAATGGTTTATATCATATTTTGTTTGGAGGTTATAAGTCATTCCAGTCTCCCCACTGATGTGGCTTACTTTTGGTTGGAAACCACAAGCTAGGTCTCTCCTCCGCATGAGTATTCTATGTAAAGGGCACCTTTTTAGCAGCCTACCAAAGTGAGAGTGTATCAGTATAAATGAAATCCTACCCCTGTACGCATGTAAAGTAGGGAATTGCATGCAAAGTGCCAGTTTGCATGTATGGAAATACACATGTTTGCAGGTGCCCCTTGCTTCCCACTTAGTAAATGGACTGAAAAATTGACAACTGAGCTGTTTCTCTTTTGAGTTACTTCTTTGGCAAGTTGAGATCAGCATGGCATAATGAAAAAAGCCCAAGTTTGGGGGTTAGAAAAACTTAGATCCAAATCTAAGTAAGTTTAGGCAAACTACTTAACCTCTCTTAGCCTCCACTTTCACATAAGTATTAAATGGAGTTAATACCAATTATGTGGAGTTGTGTTGAAAGGATTAAATGACCTTGTATAAATTAGGTGCAGACCAAAACAGGCTCTCTCAATAGATTAGACATTTATCCCCTTTTCCCATCCCTTCATCTGGACCAGTAAAATCAATTTGCTTTCAATCAGGGACAAGGAATTTCTTCATCTTCCAACTTGCACAACTATGTTCAGAATCTTTTTTGGGCCTTCACTCACAAGAGAACTGGCCCCATGTACATTCTTTTTAGTGCTTTCCCACAGTTCTACCCCAGCTGTACTCTCCTACTAATGCCTTCTTGAAACTGGGCACTTAGCATGGTCCCAGGGGCACAGTGAGACATGGCTTCCCATGTGGCTTCAGGTCAGCCAGAAGCCCATCAGTCTGATAAGCTAATTCCTGTACCCTCTTTTTCTGTTTGTGAAATTATGGATCCAAATACAAATGGGTCTTCAGCTGCTTAAATAAATCTAACTCCAGTAATACCAAAATAACCCTAAATCTGCAACAGATGCAAGGATGCCCCCTGGGGCAAATGTTAAGTGTGATGACAGCTGGGCATCAATTAATAACGTTTGTCACCTGCTCATAGATCGTATCATGGGAGGTTTGGCAAAGGGACAAATAACCTTTTGAACACTGCACAAAACTTAGTTAATATCAGGAGAAATTATGTATGGAGGTATTTCTTTTACTTTACCATTTTTCCTTATCTAGTTGCCTGTTTGAAGTCATAACTTTTCCTATGAGTTTGGAGGAAGCTAATATGGCCAGTAAGAGCCATCCCCTTCACCAGGATTACCAAAAAACCTTATTCAAGGACTCCTCAGCATTTTTCCTGGGAAATATAAGGCCTCCTCATTATGGGCTTAATGTTCATAATTTATTAAGTAGTAATTATGTAAAATAAAACTAAGTAACATAACATTTCTAATACTTGGAGACTTGTTTGCTAAATTAAAAGATGAAGTGCTGAGAATACAAATTACCTTGGTATGTTGAAGGTGAATGTTTAAACTACTTTTTTTAAACAGAATGTTTACTCATGTGCTTAGCATTTAAATGGTTAAAACAAGCCTTTGAAGTTACACTCCATTAAGATGAATGGGGGTAATTCACACCTCGGCTGGTGCTGTATTATTTCAGTCTGGCTGCAGAGAAAACAAGACAGCAGTAGGTTGATTTACTGTGAAGGCTCTTTAAACACCCAAGGTCTGGAAAACTTTGTTTGTTTGTTTTTTTCTTTTACATCTAGAAGCAGAATCTGAAATTCAGCACAATCCAGGTATAGAATAGATTCCTCACTGCCTGGCAGGTCCTAAGTTTCAATTGTTGGGTAGCCCGTTACCAGATCAGCCCAACTGCTCTGGCTTTGTTTGCTCTTATACTCTAGTGTTTCTTCCTACCAAGGTACCTTTTAAATTTAAATTTAGTACCCTGGTAAATTCAGAGTGGAAAAGCAGAAACAAACCATCCATTTTCAGGTAACCTTTACACGTGCCTTTATATGGGTTATTAGCTAATCATTGGCCTTCATGTGCTCCTGAAAACATTTTCATCCTTGCAAAACCTCATGTTCTATATTTGTCTACATATAAAACATCTATTTTTAAGAACTTTTTCTTCTTTCCCATTTGGGATTGGGGTGTGAAATGAGCAGAGAACAGTTGGGAAAGATTGATTTCTTTCTCAATTTGTCCTTTGTACTGGTACTAGTTTGTATTTGAAATGTGTATTCCCTCCTTTGGTGGAAATAGTTTAACCAAATGACCCTGAAAAGGTTCATTTTAGAGCCCAGGAATGGGTGATGTGAACGCAAATGAAATAAGATGTTACTGAATTTTATGAGATGTTAATGGATTTGGAAGATCTCTTTTTAAGGTAAACAGATTTTTCTCTTCTCCTGTCTCTACCCTGTGTATCTGCAGATCAGGTTACTAAATAATCTGTGGTAGCTGAGTGTGGAGAGTATTTCCATTTGGGCTCTCTGATGCTGACATTGCCAATACAGTATTAGAGATGGAAGATAGATGCTAGAAACAAAGGGACTCAAACATTAATTTTAACCTTTCTTCTTGGCATGTTGATTGTGGTTGTGTTAGTATTAGCCATATTAAAATACTTTGCTTCCTGAACATTACTCTGCCTAGATTTTAGGTGTCGTAATTTTTGGCCTTAGAACTTCTCAGAACCTTCTATAGTACTGAGAAATTTGTTTTTTTAGTTTAAACACACAGTTTATTCATTTTTCTATGATAACCCTCCTGTAGCCTTTCGATTATGAAGTAGGAAAAAGAGGAAAACAAAATTTTGGTGAAGAATGAGTAAAGATATTATGGATGTGGTTTCCTAATTGCAATTAGAATTCTTTCTGGTTTTTATTCTTCATAAACAATCTGATACAGGGTTTTACTATCATCATGATCTACTGTCCTAGTTTGCCAAGCTGTCAATCAAGGTGAGCAGTTAGGAGGGGCAGGAAGACTCATCTTGGCTGATGGCCAGGTGCACAGGTGGGAGTGAGAGGTTTATTCCTCTATCCAACAAAAGAAATGGGTGGAGAGGGAAATTGAGTTGTCAAGGGTTAAAAAGACAGATGGAGTAAAAGGCATTGTAATAGGGATGCTATAAAGAAAAAAGACTTGGAGAAAATGTTTCTTATTTGTTTGAACATATATGTGTTTTATCTTATGTTGATTCATTGAGCAAATGTTTACTGAGCACCTCTTATGTGAAGTTAAATGAGATGCATTTCTTGCCTGAAAAAGGCTCAGCTGTAACTTTGATTTTTCTGAGTGGACCTTTTCAGATAGACTTGATGAGTGAAACTGCTTAACTTAAAGGAAAAATTATGTATGTATATATTTTTTCTCTCTCTTAAGATTCTGGGGTGAAACTTACCTGTGTTCAAATCCCAGTTCTACCTCCTCCAGTCTAATTTGGACAAGTTACTTTAATTCTCTGAATTATCTAAAACCTTCAGTGATGAAGACAGAGTTTTCTGCCAACCAAGGGTAACAACTTGTTTCATCAAGTTAGATGACATGGCATTTGAGAAGAGCTTAAGTATGTTCATAAGCACTGAATTGAAGATACGTACCATTTTATTACTTGACTGTTCCTCAAATCACATAGCTTCCAAGCCATTTGTCCCTTCTCCCTTCTCTGCTTTAGCTACCTTTAGTCAACAGCCTGATCAGAAAAAGTTTTCTAGAAATAATCCTAATCAGTGAAGCTTAGTTTTGCTATTGATGTATTCTTCCCCAGGAAAATAATTTTGTAGTTTTATAATAGTCAACATACTCTGATTTTATGTCAGCTTTTTCACAATGACATTGTACTTTAGGCTCATAAAGTCATGTGGTCAATAAAAGCTCCAGGTCTTTCTTGAACTGTCAGATTTCTAGGACTGTGGGATCAATTTTTAATGCTTGTAACTATGAAGTAATATGTGTATGTGTGTGTACATACATAAATATATTCATGAACACGCACACACATCATCTACCTGTGTGTCTGTTACATTTCATCTTGTTAGTGTCAGCTCATCCTTTCAGCAGCTGAGATTTTTTAATCCTGATTTTAGTGCATCAGTCATTGTTCCCTGTGTTTCAACATCATTCGCCTGCCATTTCTTCACCCCATTCACTTATCAAAAAGTTCAGGGAGACAGGTCTGACTACAGAGCCCTGCAGCCCACCACTAGAAACATTTCTTCCAAGTTGTTCCTATTCTCCTCTTTGGGGGAAGTTGTCATATTCCTACAGTGTGTCACCTAAATTGCATTTCTTTAGTCTCCCTGGAAGTGTCTTCTGAGTCAGTGGGTACAACCTAAATTCTCACCTGTTTTCCATATTTCTAGTAGCTCTGCGACATTTCTTCTTGGTTCTTCTTGGATGCTGTGGTTACCTCAAATCCAACATGTTCAAATCTATTCCCTGCCACATTTTCCTGTCTCTGTCCCCACTGTTTTAGTCTAACCTCCCAATGGGTTTCTTGCATCCATCCTGCCACCTGCAATCCATTTGTACTCTGCAGCCAACGTAGTTTAAAAACGTAAATCAGATCATGTCACTATCCTGCTTAATTTCCTCCAAAACTTCCATCTCAACTGGAGTGAATCTGTGCCATGACCTAAAAGACTCTTTTTTGTTTGTACCTATTTATTTCTCTGACCTCCTCTCATATCTGTGTTCTACTCTTCTCTACCTACACAGGCCTTTCT